ATAGAATAGAATAGAATAGAATAGAATAGAATAGAATAGAATAGAATTCTTTATTGGCCAAGTGTGATTGGACACACAAGGAATTTGTCTTGGTGCAAAAAATAAACTTAATGGTAGAACCGGTTCCTGTTCTGTTATTGGGGAACCATTTTTCCCACCCCGTAATTCCATGGCGAGGAGAACAGGATGATCTTGGTGGGAAATTGGGGGGCTGAGCTCATCCCTTGGCCTAACATCGGGGTGCTAAGCTAAGGATCTCCTGGCCAGGCAGGATAAAATCAAGTTAAAGATTAGCCAACTTTGCGTGAGAAGCCTAAAGCGTGGCTTCGTGTTCAGAGCCAAGAGAGAAAACAAACAAGGGAAAGAAAAGTTCTGGGCATCTGAAATTAGTCTGAAATCCACCTCGAAGGAGAAATCTGCTTTTCTGAAGGGACTCATTGAATAACCAGAGCTTTTCAGAAATTTCAGAAGCTTCACTTATTTCCTCTATTGCTTTGGCCTCTTGGACTCAATTCACCAGCTGGAGAAATGGAAAACCACAAAATATTGAAACCTGTTATCCATAACAGTTCTATGCTGCCATTCCTGTTATTGACTGGAATGAACAAGCCAACGTTTTTTGCTAAGTCAGTCGTAATTTTAAATGTATCCCAACGAAACACCAAACACACAGCTATTGACGTGGGTAAACTGCACATGCCACTTGGCTGTTTTATACATTCCTACCTTGTTCCCACACAATACACTTAACCAAGTGAATTTGAGCAACAATATAATTTTACAGTCATTGACCAGGGAGAATCTGGTTCACGTTTGGAAAGAAGAGCCCTCAAGAAATCCTAAAGACTTTAGTTCAGGGGTGTCCAGCCTTGGCAAACTTTAAGACTTGTGGACTTCAATTCCCAGAATTCTCTAGCCAGTGTGGGGCCGGTCCACAAATAGCAAGAGCAGTTCGACTTATATACCGCTCTACAGTGCTTTACAGCCCTTTCTAAGCGTTTTACAGCCTCTTGCCCCCAACAATTTGGGTCCTTATTTTACCCACCTCGGAAGGATGGAAGGATGGATCAGCCTTGAGCCATGTCAGGATTGAACTGCTGGCAGTGGGCAGAGTTTGCCTGCAATGCTGCATTCTAACCACTGGGAAGGAAGGAAGGAAGGAAGGAAGGAAGGAAGGAAGGAAGGAAGGA